CCCATGTATGGCCTCATCTTTGCTGTGTATGCAAAAGTCAAAATCACATACTACTTTAGATCAGTTTCTGTTCCCCAATGTGGGTTCTTTGGTTTTTGTGGTGAGCTAATGATGATTATAAATGCTAAATGATTTTCTGTCGAAATTCAAAGGTCAGTTCGTATTTGTTAATATAATTATTAACTAAATTTGACCCCTTTTTTGATTTCATCACAACATCATGTTTATTTTATCCGATTTACCAACGTACGCTACAGCAAGCAGTGCAGCTACTGCATGGCTAGGCCTCTTTGGTGGTTATCAAACCTCATCACTTTCCTGGTACAAACCTAAATGTGTCAGTAGAAGCAAGGGTCAAAAAACAGCAAGTAGAGAAAACATATATTGATTTATTGGAGAGTTTTCTTGTGTTGTTTACTTCTGTGATCTAATTTTCCTTTTATTTAAATGAAAATGTTTTATTTAGTGCTTGTTTGTTTTGATACATCATTTAACATTTGATAAGAACTTTGGCTTCTTTAGTTCAATGAAAACAGGTTATTATGGGAAAGCAAATCCCTCAAATTAAGGTAGCCGTTTTGTTATCTGTACCTAAATTCAGATATTGCATCGGCAACTGATTCCTACCCTTTGCTCTTTGGAGCTGTCGTTGTGAAATAGTAATGAAACATTTTTTCTGTTGTTGCTAGAATATGGAGTTCATATGTTACCGTGAATAGAAACCACAGAATAGATACTCATTCACTTCAGACTATAGGTAGAAAACTCGAGGAACATGTTTCGGCTTTTCTGGAAAATCAAAAACTCTGCAAAACATAATGTTACAGAGCAGCAGTAACATAATGTGTAAGGCATGTGCAAAAAGCTGCATGTGTTTGTGTTGTGTCGGTGGATATACAGTCTGTTATCTATAAGCAGAGAGCAGTCCGCATGAGGAATGTAAGAATGCTGCCGTTTCGAGTCACAGCAGACAGAAAGCTTGATAAGCGTCTGGGTGGGTCTCAGGGGACCTCAGAGAGTTTACCTTTCGACATACACCTGAAACTCATCGACGAGTTAAGGAGTAGATAATAAATGCTTAACTAAAACACAATCCACAATATAATGTTTTTGCTTGTTGTTACCCATGATAATAACCTGTAGTCTTCATTGTCTTGTGAGAAAAGGCCCTAATTTAAGAATGCCAGCAAGATGATATGACCTTATATTTCAGTCCAGGGAAGAGAACAAAGTGCTTCACTCTTTGGCATGTTAATGCGTTATTGATCATTTTATTTATCATAATCCAATACTGACAAATTGTCTTGTAAACATGCTATGTAGGGCCCCTCCTGTCAGTGCATTGTTTCCCTTAATGGATTCTGAATGAAATGAGCAGCCTGTTTGTTTGCCTGATGGAAAAGTATCTGGGCGGTTCACTGTATGTGCTGCCTAACCTGTCTTTGTTAACTTGCATGTGTCAAACACAGTGAAGGCAGGGCTGATGGGTGACTTATGCAATGGTTCTGATGTCAGACCGAGCCTCGAGGGGAGACTCTTTTGTTAGTGTACGGAGTCACAGCATAGATCTCCTCACTGATGTGGATGCTAATGGACGTGGATGCTAACTTGTGTATAGTAATGTGTTTGATCTGCCCTCTAGGAAGTGAGCATAACTTATTGAATACGTATGAGGGGGTCAAAGAGCAAAAAGCGCTGTCACATTGAGATCACCAGATAAACGCACTCCTTCATGGTTTTTGTGTTGAACTTTTTGGACTGCTTTATTGTGACTAAAAGACAAATTAGTCACCAAATCTTCTTGCCCAACTTCCTTTAATTTCAACAGACACATTTAGAATATGTGGCGAGTTCCACATTTAGTTCGGATATGGTCTTTGAGAGCTTTGGGTTTGCCATTATGTGCAAGTCTGTAAGGGAAAGTATAGAGCACGGTTATGATGTCATTCGTTTGCTCACTGAGACAAGATGCGTTTTGTTTCCGATGAGACATCATGTTTTAGACAAGAAGGTGACACACTGCAGTGACCACAATCCCTTTCATCAAATTAAATTACTTTTCATTGTAACCTCGCTAAAACCCCCCGTTTCCAATCTTTATGCTAAGCTAAGCTAACCAGCTGTGGCTTCATATTTACCGTGTAGACATGAGAGTGGTATCAATCATCTCATCTAACTCATAACAAGAAAGTGATTAGGAAAGCAGAATTTCCTAAAATGTCGCGCTATTACTTCAAATCACATCGATAAAGAGGCTTTTTATAGAAACGCATGTTTATATAATCAATATCAAGCTAGGGTGGGTTATGTATGTTTTATTATAGTTTTTGAAATTCTTAGGTCAGTCACACAATGAATTCTCTGACCAAAAACAAACAAACTGGTATCTGTGGCTGTCGCAGGCCTGGCTGCCTGTCTACCTAACTACCTGCTGACCTAATCACACTCGGCATGTGCACTCATTTTGCGTCACCGGAGTTTTCCACCAGCTGCTAGCGTGACACCTGCGAGTACAAACAAACAACCATTTTGGTGTTACATTTTGGCTCTTCCTTTCTTGGCATTCCACACATGCTGACATCACTGATTACTGACTCCCCATGTTTGTTTAATTTATGAATTCTTTAAATAAATGTGATTATCTATTACTTTTGTCTTTGGAGGGAGGCCTGAAGGAACAGCTGTCAGTGTTGCCGACTTAGCTACTTTCTTGCTGGATTTAGGGACTTTCGGAGCTAGTGCTGCGAGCTGCTTTCATCGGAAAAGAGTTGTCAACACTGGGCTGGGTTTTTCGGTTGGAAGATTTCTAAAAACCCTTGCTGGTTTCTCCAAAGTTACCTGCCTCAGCTTTAATGTATTGATACCGAAATGCAGGCTAGTTACCACCAGTATCAAAATGTGAGCATTACCCAGGACTATTGTGATCACAGTGTTCCAATGAGGGACTTTCAAACTTCAGCACAATTCAAAACATTTCTAACATTAGTCTCATAATTTTGTAATAAAAAATATCTTAGCTGGTGGATTTCTGTGTCACGTGCAAGTTCAACCTGCAGAATACATATGATGCATCATGCATTACCACCCAGCATGCAGCTCAACTCTGATTCCTTTTTTCAGTTGTTAAAGATTTTTTTGTGGGTCACCTAGCTACAATCAACATGTCCTGCAGTAAGAGGAGCAACATGACTTCCCCTGTGTCGGGGGGGGGGGGGGGCCTGGCTGCTTGTGACCTTTGTCCCACTTCCCCTCTTGAGACATTATGTTAGACTCTTCTAAAAGTCAGTTAATTCATAATTATTTATAAACAGAAAAATATGTCAGGAGAGGAAAAAGGAAGTAGTATACGACAGGTAAGGGGTTAATATTATTTACTTTCATCATCTCAATGGTTTTAACACTCTTACAACTAAATGCATCATTGTAAAATGTCTAAAGGTAAGAAAACATATTTTGTTTCAAGAAACATTTGAGCCACAAACTGTCCTATAGTTGAGTAAACACACAAACCCTGAGCAGGGTTGTGACCTTATACCACCAGCGTGTGAGGCGATCACTGACTGAGATGCAATCATTTCAACATTAGAAGTCTCAGATTGTGGATGGCTGAGGGTAGTGCAATTCACGATGCTCTCTGTGTCTCTTCCCGTTTGTTGTTCATCTGTGTTTCCGTTCACTCACTGTAGTCATTCACATACATGCAGCCTTTACCCTCCATCCTGCCAGCTCAGTGTAACTGTTAAACACAGCTGGCTTGACAGGTTAACTCACTCAGAGGCTTACGGATGCGTTCACAGGTATATGACAATGATAATTGCTCGACATAGTTTTTTTGTCACAGAACCCTATGGCACCATTCAAGAATACTGTAAATAATACATTTGTAATAAGCAAGCCCACACAATGATGTGTAGCATGTACAGTAAGTTACAGGATGTTTTACAGTGCAGTGACAAATATCCAAATCTCACAACCTTGGATAATTCACATGAACAGACGGAAAAGCAGAGTAACTGGCTTGGTTAGCTTTCCAAAGATACAACACTGCACAATGCATTGGGTTGGACTGTTGTCAGTTTCACACCACCTGAAAGAACTGGGCTGGGCCCTGAAGCATACTGGGCTCCACCTGGAGACCGATGCATGTCTCCAAAATATTGAACGACATGCACGGCTGCTTTCAAAAAGGAGTTTACTTAGTACACTCTTTGTGTACATTTTAAAAATACATTACATTCAGTTACCCTTCCGAGCAGAGCACACTTGAGAGTAGTTTGTTTAGGATTTAACTTCATTATTCCTACTGCTTGTTAAATAACTTTTATAACTGAACAGAAAAGTGCATCAGCTACAGAAACTCCAACCTCATCAAGAGGAAATGTCACATCTCTGCATCACTGACATCATTTCCTAGTGGCCATGTGAGGACATTTGGTGGCGCGCAGACATCCCTGCCATGTACGTGTATGTGTGGGAAATGGCTGCATTTGATTGGCCCAGCAAAGGGCCGTCGTCGTTGGGTGTCTTTGAAGACTGATGTGAATTATCGCTGTGTTAATTTCACACTGTGCGACGTCGGCTGAAGACCAACTTGTGAATCTTACTTTTTTTTCGCAACTGTTGTCGGTCGCTGGGGTGACCGCAGCTGTCAAACAACAGTCACACCCTTCAGTCTGGAATGTAGGGCTTGGATCAACCACCGCTGACAGCAGCATGAGGGATGGATTTGTGGGCAGTGTGATAGATCTGAACCTCAGTCCTTTCCCGTCCTTCTCTTTAAAGATGCAGAAACTGTGATGAAAGGTGTTTCAGCGTGTTTTCCCTCTTCATCCGCAAATTACCTACGATGGAATATTTTGCTTTTCAACAGCTGTTGGCTATTGTGAAACCGAGACGTTGCTCTGTGTGAATCTTGAATTGATTTTGATGGTTTCATGTTAGATTTTTCATTGTACGTAATGCGTAACGTTTCTCTTTGTCTCTCTCTCTTTTCTCTCCAGTCGCAGCCTAGCCAGGCCACACCCAAACCGGCAGCTCAGGCCTCCACTGTGAAACCTGCACTGTTCGAGGTATCAAACATTCCTCCTTTGCCCTTCAACCTCATCTTGCCCCGCCTCTCTGAACAAAGGACGTTGACAAATGTGTTTCTACAATCAGTGGATTGTTGTCTGACCTCTGACCTGCTCATTACCTGGACTATGTGTAGTATTGTGACTTTCTTTCCCTCCCCAGCTTCATGTTTTTACTAGTTTTAAGTAGAGCGAGGTAATAGGTTTAGCTGCTTCCTCAGAGCAGTAGCACACATAAAACGGAACATTCAAGCACAAGAGAGGTTACACCTAGTTTCCCCACTGGGACCCAGTTTAACTCTTTGATGCTGCTCTCAAACAATGCATCAAAGTGGTTTTCCCCTCAGGTTCAGTTTCATGTGTTGTTGTTGGAGTCATTTTCCCATGTTAGTTCTGAAATGTTCGTTTGAATAGAACTTTAGGAAGCGGACATGCTAAAGTACTCTACCTGTAAGTTCACCAGGAACTCAGGAATGGTGACTATAAAACAACTATTCTGTGATACATTTTTGCATGTTTTTAGGATCCGAGTTCTTTTTAACATATCAGCATGATGTCTGTTGCTGGAAAACTGTATTAAGTATTAGATATAAGCTGCATTTTATCTGTCCAGAGCAGTTCATGGAAGACAACAACAGGGTGACCAGGGTCAAAACTGAAAATCTATTTATGACTAGTTTGTGTCTTCAACGTCATTGTGGCTGTACAACACGGGGCTTTCACTGAGTCCATTGCTGAACTGCCTTTGAGTATTCAAAGTCAGACAGTGTTTTGACAGGACAACTCGGCCTTCAACAACTGGGCTTTGTCATCCTCTATTTTGGTGCCCGGCTTGTAGAGAAAAGCTTTGGTGGGATAGTTGAACTTTCAAAGTTGTGGCTGTGTGCAGAAAGGGGCTGCACCAGTATTTTAAAATAGTATAATGTGAGACATTGTCATGTTTTAAACTTACCAATTTATTTATAGACTCAGCTTGTATTACTCAGCCATTAACCTTTAGCTTTAAGAGACTCTTGTTAGCAGCTGACCTTGTTGCCCCTTTTCATACCGCTCAGGTGATTTTGACAGAGTGGGGCACAGTTGCTCGTTCATCAGTGGCAGTAGTTCAATGTACAGTCTGGGGATCCATTAGTCTGACTTGTTCAGTCCCGATACCGATGGCAATACCCGGGCTACCAATACCAGTGTCTAACTAATAAGCTGTATGCCTCAGTTTGTGGAAGTGACTGGGATCATTCTTTTATTTGTAAGATGATGTCAGACTTGACTTAAACATTCCCACTTCCGATTTTGACAGGAAGTTAAACGTCAAAGTATCAGAGCTATTCCTTGTTGCTGAAAAGCAAAAAGTCAATTTCCAAAACCACTAAATCCTACATTTCCTTCCTTCCTACCTGCAAACACCCACTTATTTCAAACAGAAATCCCCTGGCTTTTAACACAGTCTTTGAGTTATACATTTGTAGTGTACAAGCCCCCGTCATGTTAATGTCATCAGGATCATTTTCTTAGCTCCCTCCAGAGCCACAGAAGACATTCTACATCTGTTATCACAGGCTGAGTGGTACAAGTAAACTAACATGTGTGTGTAAAATCTGTGGATCGCCACTTTAAAAAACTGATTTAATTTAGTCATGGAACAGTAAATACATCAACAACTGCCACACACAAGCATATTTGGTCAATGCAAGCTTCCAATGAGCTCTAATAGAGGACATAATCGACTTTTCCTCACCCGGTGCGTTGCAGAAGGCATCATCAGGATCCGCCATGGCTACAAAGCCTGAGGTGTTTACCGCAGCAGCAGGCGGAGCCACACAAAGTGGCGTCACAGCAGGAGGAAGTGCTTCAATTGGGAACGCAGAAAAAGCCAAACCAGAGGTAGACGGACTCTGGATGCCTAATAAAAGTGGAAGGGGGCTTTTGGCTGTTTGGTGTGACGTAACTTGAACCACTGCTTCCCTCGACACTCTGAGCATGCGTTCGTCGTGACGCAGCTCGCCTCCCTTCTTCACCGGCTTCATCTTGTTTTCATCTTTGCAAAACATTGTGTACCTCCTCTGTATGCGGTGGCTCTCTGGCTCGGCCACCCAAACATCTTGACCTTTCAGAAGCTTGCTGTATCACATTAATGAACCTTCATGTCATCCCGCTCATGTCATCTTTCTCATGACTTTTAACACGTGCGCCTTGGTTTCTAGACTAACACTGCGCCGACAGCTGCTACTGTTATTGACATGTCGTCAGCTGGGGCTACCTTTGTTGACATGACATCAGCTGGGCCGAGGGGCTTTCCTAAAGAGATGTCAAAGGTAACAGTGTTCTCTTGTCGAAAGCGCTGCTCAGCGGTTTTCCTTGATATTCACATTACTGCTGATCATTTTACTGAAATTTTGATTGATTTTCTAGCAACCGAGCAGCATGCAAGCACTTGAGTATTCGATGAGCCTTACTTTTTATTGAGGCCGTGTTGCTGTCAGGTTGTAATGTCTTGTGATAAGAGGCATGTACTTGTGGGAAACTCCAACATACACAATGTGTGTGTCAGCTGCCCAAGAGCAGCCTTTCTGAATTCACATGATCTTTTCCACCACATTTTGCTTATCGTTACAGTATTTCTCTTTTGGATTTATTTTAGGTTTTTAGATTTAATTTTCTAATTGCATAACTGGTGAAGCTGCTAAGCAGCCGACTCTAACATTTTTAGATACAGTATGAGGGCTTCATGAACACACCAAACATCCTCTGCTTGCTTGCTCAAGGCTCTTGTTAGCAGCCTGGGAGGCAGAAAATCACTTTACTGGGTTTGTAAAATGGTCAGCAGTACTGTAAAATATACAAAGCTTTGTTTTTCACTTGGTTAAAGAAGACTAATTTAACAACTACACTGATCAGTGGTCAGATTATTCTCACACATTCGAAACATGTATTCTTGCTCTAGTTGAACTGCAGTGGCAGATCTCACCAGAGATCATTGTGAATTGTCTCCTGCTCTGCTTTCACAAAAACTGCTAAGATATTGTCCACATCTCTTGTCAATATGTTTACTGGATTTAGAAGCGCTGTGAATCTCTCATCCTTGTGTTTTTGACTAATTATTTGGCTACATGTTCGTAGACTGCTGCTGTCTCCCAAATCAAAGCCTCAGCCACAGTTCCTTCTGCTGCTGCTGGAGTGGCTGCAGCCGCTGGCATCGCAGCGGCCACTGCTGTGACCAAACCTAAAGAGTCGCCCAAAGGCACAGCCAAGGTAGATTCGACTACTACGGGCTTCTCGGACTCTTTATGATGACTCCCTCGAGGTGTACTTTTCGAGGCTTTCTTTCTTCAACATCTTTCTTTGAGTCTTTTTCTGACTTTCTTTACCTGAGAAACCTCAGATTCTTGCTTTGAACATGGCTCGCTTTGGGAGTTTCTTTTCTACTTTGGCGTTGACCAGTCGGGAAAGTCACTGTTGTTCTTTACTCTACAACCCTTTGCTCAGCATTCCTACGCTTGTTATTGTATTTGCAAATGGTGAGCACCCGTCCACTTGCAACACCACACTTGCAGAGGAGAGGCCTACAGGTTGTTGGTTTGTCTTCTCGCTCTAGTTTCGTTCCACAACTTCTAAACTAATGTCTGTCATCAAATTGGTGGAGGATTTATTTCTACTGGAGTTTCTTTGGGTATATTACTGATTGTGTGCATGTACAGCAGATCTGTAATTTTACTAGACTTGATGTACTTGGCCTATAATATAATCACATTGCATTTTAGAGTGCCACTGCCACCACAACAGTCAGAGCTGATGTGCATAAAGTTGATCCTGCTAAATCCTCAAAGCCAGTTGCCACTGCTGCGGCTGGAAATGTGTCTGTGCAGGGGAAGACAGAAGCTAAACCGACACAAACGAAGGTAGACCATCTTGAAACCATTACGGGTGGAGGCTGTCTGCTGCTGGTGTATTTCCTGTGCCTAGAATATTAATGGATATGTTGCATTGGATATTGTTATTGTGCTCTTACTGAATACACCACTAATGTGCCGGAAAAAGTGAGGTTTGGCCGGGGGCACATTGATCAATTTGCAAACAAGTATTGCAGTTTGTTGACACTAACAATGTAAGTGTGTTGCCTGCATGTTGTCGAGGTCTTGTGTACTGATTCTGGATCTGTGTCGCAGGTTCAAGTGGAGGTTCCTCCTGCAGCAGCTAAAGGAGTCAAAGAGGTAAATACTTAGTGAAGCGGTATGAGTTTCCTTTGAAAAGCATGTTGCTTGCTACAGTGTGCTGAGTTGTGTTGCATGCGCAGGTGGATCCATTCGATGCCCTCGCCAGCATACTGCCATCCGTTGACGATATTGCACCCCGACAGCCTGTGTACACAGGGCCAGAGGTCACAGAGGTACAGCACGCATGTGTGTCTGTATTTAAACTGAGCTGCAGCATGAATCCGCTGTGAGTAACTATGTGTCGCATGTGTCACAGCTTAACATCACCTCTGAGAAGGGTCAAAAGTCTGGAGAAAGAGACAGCACGCTGCCTCCAGGCTACAGATTTGAGGATATGGTCAGTTCATCCCTTCTCTTAATCACTTCTTCACTAATTAGCTTTGCCAACCGCTACCAGAGTGTGTGTTTTGTTCCATTGACTGACCTCACTGTCGCATGTTTAATACAGGGACTAATTCTTCGGTAGGAAGTCGTTGCTATGAACATTTTTCAATGCTGTAAACACCATAAACAAAACAAAACTTCACCTCCGTTGTATCGGGGCGGAGATGGCCGAGTGTCAAATTTCATATGTTTTTGGTACCTAACAAAATATATCTTCAGCATTTAATATAAAATCTGGCAAGTACCAAAAGCTGGCATCAATAGCCACTTTCATGATCTAGTTTATTCTCATTCTTTGATCAGATAGTTTCAGTTTTAAATCAAATTTCTATTTCTATTTTTCTAATTGTATTATTTTATTTAGTCAAAGTTGTTTATAGAATCTCAGGTATCATATTGGCACAGATATCGTTTAAAGACTATAAAACTATCTGTATGGCCAGATACCACTAGGGGAAAATGAGAGGATTTGGGAGATTTCTTTGTAATTAGTGTGACCTCAGCCTTTGAGGCAGTATTTGCTGACTCCCTAAATATCTTCAGCATTTGATCATTTTTCTTACAATCTAAAATCAATCTGTTTTGTTTTAGGGTCCAGTTCCTGCAGATGTTAAACCCGAGGACGTTCCGGTAAGTGAACCTTTACAACTCCCATTCATTAGAGTCACAACCTCCTGCATTGTGCTTATTTTCTCCTTAAAGTCACTGACTAAACTTTTTCCAACAAATGAGCATCGACTCACATTACACACACATTCAGGAAGCACTGTTTCCACTAAACGATCTCCTGAGTCCTCTAGAGTAGGGAATGTTGCATTACACTGGCGGGTGTTGTCTCGTCAAAGAGCACAGCATCACGCTCGTTGGCTCTTGTCTGACCAAACCCAACCCAAACACGCAGAACCACATAGGCACACACCCGCTTTCTCACACACACACACACACACACACATCTACTTTGATATCCACCCATTTGTAGGTAACCACATAGGTTACTATATACTCACCCTCAACACACCCACATTTGCATCATAGCTTACTCCCACTTTGTTATTTTGTCATGCAAGAGGCTTCTCTCGCTCTGTGTCTCATGCTCCCTTTTCACCCAGGCACTTTCCTGCAGTGTGAGTTTGGAAGTTGATCATGCTTTCGAGTGTGAGAGTGTTTTTGAGGTTTTTATGTGTCAAAATTGTAGTTTATTTGGGAGTTTATTTTTGTCTCCATGGAATGTGAAGGGTGTGTCTGTACTTTTCCTTCATTGTCATACGTTCAGTCTGGTTTGCACTATTTTGCACATTTGTTTGCCTTTGACTTGGCCAGGCGTGCCCCCTAGTGGAGAATCATGTGGCTGTTATGAAACATAATTTGGAGTAATTCTTCCTAAATGAATTATTCATTTAAAAACATCTAATCTTGTCTAGATGTTGTGTTGTTATCTGGTGGTGATGTGTGCTCTGTCTTTCATCTCAGAAACCAATGAGCACCGGCGAGGCCCTGGATTCTCTTTCAGATGCATTCATGACTCCAGCTGCACCCAAGAAGCAAGAGGTCAGACTCTTCAAGCATGATAAAAAACCCAAGATGGAGAAAGTCTCGGCTGATTTCTCTCTGATGTCTGCACTGGATACCAAAGTGGACACCAAGCCCAAGACTGACGGGGTAGGAGCTGAAGTGGACAAGATTCTGTGTACCCATATCCTCGTTCTTATTTATGTAGTTAAACAATATGTGAAAGATTAGTACATTTTTAACTTCCTGTCCTGCTCTCTCTCCTCAGGGTGACTCTATGTCTCTGGATGCTCTCAGTGCTCTTGTTGACACGTTGCCAGAAGACAAACCAAAACCTGAACTCCCCGAACTCAGACCTGAGGACATCGTCTCGGTAGGAGCACAAACACTCACATTCACAGAGTTTACAGCTTCTGTTCGCAGAAAGCCTTCTGCTGTTGGCATATTGGTTGCATTTGTGGCGTCAACTCCTCACTGAAAGACTCCCCTGGCACAACTATTTCATCTTCTTTTCCTTTTTCATAGGAGGAGAAACACAAGAAGGAGAAGGGTGTGCTTGTAGGAGAGAGAGAGGACTCAATTGCTCCAGAGTACAGGTTTTATAAGGACGTACTAAAAGAAATGCCTGCTCCAAAACCTGAGGTGAGACCGAGACATATTCACTTTAAGGTGCATATGTATCACTGTAATATAAATACAGTCACAACAAGATATTGATATACAATATATATATATTTATTTCTCTTCTGTGTCCACCTTGTGCAGCCTTCCATGGGTACTGGTGAGGCTCTGGGCATTTTGTCTGGAGACTTCATGACCGCTGCAGCAGCGCCCGCTGTACATGCTCCTCTTCCTGCAAAGGTACACTATAGATCTGTTACTGGTAACAATAGACAAAATTGTATGTATATTGCACACACATCCACTATTATCTGTCATATGTTCTCTCTGCTGGTTGTTGTAGAAAGCCCCTGCAGTTCCTTCTGCTGATAAAAAAGTCAAGATGGGCAACGTCTCGGATGATTTCTCTCTGGAGGCTGGACTTGATTTGCCGACTGTCACGGTATAGCAAGCTCACATCTCCTCTCCCGCAAGCGTCTCTTAGCTGGTCTAATGTTGATAAGCTTTGTACATTGAGAATAAAAGTCCATATCATAGACTGGATTCATTTGGACATCTTAAAAAAAAAAAAAAAAGATGCTTCTTATGTCTTCAGATCTTGGCACATTCAGATTTTTTCAAAAGTATCTAAGTAATCCAGGTGCGGAGAGAAACTGCTAGCAATAAAGCAGGGGTCTTCAATGTTTTTCAGGCCAAGGACCCCCAAACTGATAGAGAGATGGAGCAGGGACCCCCGACTATATATATTGTATAAAATTGTGTTTTATATTAAATGGGCCTAGTACCGTGTATACCTCTTTATTGTGCATTCAATACTAAGCTATTCAAATAATACACAGGTTCATATATTCATGTTTTTATTTTAAACATGTGCAAGGTACAGTGAGTAGGGTGGCCGTGCCACTGACATTTATAAACGCACCTTGTCAGCTGATACCAATGTCAATATCAACATTGTCTGTTAATTGCATGATAATCATGCATACAAGCTATTCAAATTGATGTTTTCATTTTAAACGTGGAAACGAAAAATGAGTGATGGCCTATTAGTACCACTGCCATGCATAAACATACCTGTTATCTTTCACACAATACTGAACTATTAAAATAATGGACACATTCATGTTTGGAGAATTTTATTTCAATTTTATTTTTTTAATTTTCTAATAAACCAAAAATTTCGCGGACCCCCTGTTGAAGACCTCTGCAATAAAGCATTGAGGAAAAAAAAGCAAATAAAATCTACAGCCATCTATCGGCTCTGTGAGGCTGTACTTTGGGCTATGGAGCGAAATGCTAACATCCTGCTCACAATAACAACGCTAAACGTGCTGATATTTACCAGGTATAACGTTAATGTTTACCACGCTTATTCACTATCCTAGTTGAGCATGCTACCATAAGCTAATTAAGCACAGCTAAGATTGATGATGACATTAGAATTTAGTATTCATAAACCAACGTATTGGACACACTGCAATTATGACCTGATATAAGAGGAAAAGTCAAGAGATTGTCTGGGAACCATGAATGTTTGTTTCAGAATGTTGTGCCCATCCAGCTACACTTATAGCCATTAATATAAAGTTTAATGTCATCTCTGTTTTCTGGTGTAGAAAGTAGAGCCCGTTATGGCTGTATGTCATGCTGCTCCTCCTGGTAAGAAAATGGCTGCAGGAAAGGACGATGGCAAGCAAAAGTATGGTCAGGTGAGATACAGAAAATTTACAAATTCCCCCCCCCCCCCCACCGCTTTGCTTTTCTCTCCCTCTCTTTTGTGTTTATCCACATTGCCTTGTCACTCTTGTGTGGTAGAGACCTTGTTTTCAATAGTTAAACCATAAATGTATGACAGTTCAGTGGAGAACAATCTCTTTTTCTCTCCTCAGGATGACTCTATGTCTCTGGATGCTCTCAGCGCTCTTGTTGACACGTTGCCAGAAGACAAACCAAAACCTGAACTTCCCGAACTCAGACCTGAGGACATCGTCTCGGTAGGAGCACAAACACTCACATGCACAGAGTTTACAGCTTTTGTTCACAGAAAGCCTTCTGCTGTTGGCATATTGGTTGCATTTGTGGTGTCAACTCCTCACTGAAAGACTCACCTGGCACAACTATTTCATCTTCTTTTCCTTTTTCATAGGAGGAGAAACACAAGAAGGAGAAGGGTGTGCTTGTAGGAGAGAGAGAGGACTCAATTGCTCCAGATTACAGGTTCAAAGAGGACAACCTCAAAAAACTACCTGCTCCAAAACCTGAGGTGCGACTGGGACAAATGAATTCAAGGCTATTCAGAGTATTCTTAAGCGGGTTTTGCTCTTACAAATGATGCACAAATGTGAAATGAACAGTCTCTTTCCTCCCCTCTTTCTGCAGCCTACCATGGGTGCTGGTGAGGCTATGGACTTTTTGTCTGAAGGCTTCACGACATCTTCATCAGCTCCTGCCGTCCAGGCTCCTGTCATCACTCCCTCAGCTCCTCCTGCACAGGTAAACTGTGGATCTGTTACTGGTACCTGTTGCCAAAATCTGCAGGGGGATGAACAGATGAATCATTCCAGCAGATGAAATTATGAAATGTATACAGAAACGATATGGATGATGGCATTTGGCATTTTTTGGTGCGCAGTTTGCCAAGAAGATTGATTCCACTCTCATGTCTGTAGCTTAAATGAAGCTGCATCCAGCAGCCGGTTAGCTTAGCATCAAGATTGGAACTGGGGAAACGGCTTTTCTGGCTCTGTGCAAAAGTCAAAAACATCTGCCTACCAGCACCTCTAAAGATCACAGATTAACATGTAATATCTTGTGTGTTTAACCCACAAATATACTGAAGTGTAAAAACAACACATTCTGCTTTTGGACATAGCCAGGCTAGCTTATTCCTCCTGTTTCTAGTCTTTATGCTAAGCTAAGCTAACCCTTTCCCAGCTTCATATTTATCTCACAGAGTGAGTGAGGTATTGATCCTCTTCTCTAACTCCCGGGGGGAAAAAATAAAATGTTGAACTATTATTTTAAGTATTATTTTAGATTCCTATTTTTCATTAAATTTCACTTTTTTATTGCTGAAAGCTGTTATTTCTGTTTTTTAGACCAAAGTAGAGGATTTGTCAGCTATAGATCTACTTCTTGGAGATTTTGTGGCTCCAACTAAAGCTTCTGGAGTTCAGGCTCCTGCCCCGCCTCCTACCAAAAAGACACCAGAGGTAAAACTATTGGGGTGTGTGTCAAACAATATGTCCTTCCATAGTGTGTGTCTCCCTACTGAGTTAATAGAATAAATTGAAATATATAGTATTCTCAGCTGTGCATGCCTTTCTGTGCATTCTCCCATGTCGTTTTTCAATCTACATGTCTCACTGTATGTCCTTGTGTTCCTGCAGAAAACAGTTTGTCCACTGGAGCAAGCAAAACCCAAAACTGATACGGTAATTGAGGATACAACAATACTTTTTGCATTCGCATAAAATGAAAAGCGAAGTGGTTATTTTACCCCCTCTTGCATCTTTCTACTTAATTCACTTACCATCAACACTATCGCAATTACATTATATACTTCCTGTCCTCTTCTCTCCTCAGGATGACTCTATGTCTCTGGATGCTCTCAGTGCTCTTGTTGACACGCTGCCAGAAGACAAACCAAAACCTGAACTCCCCGAACTCAGACCCGAGGACATCGTCTCGGTAGGAGAACAAGCAGCCACACTGTCTTGTCCTCACAGCCTTTGACGGCCTCTCTAGTGGACAGCCCAGTCGAGACACAATTTCATCTCCATCCAGAAGCAATTACTGAATGTATTCAATAACTGCACCAGAAGATATCTTATTCCCTCCTCTTTTCCTTCTTCATAGGAGGACAAACACAAGAAGGAAAAGGGTGTGCTCCTCGGGGAGAGGGATGACACACTTCCTCCAGAGTACAGGTTCAATGAGGCCGAACTAAAAAAACTGCCTGCTCCAAAACCTGAGGTGAGACGGGGACAAATTCACTTACAAGCAATGTAAGCTGCTTTGTAATTATCAGAGCACAATGATCAAGGTGCAGGTAGATGTCTTTTGTTCTCTCATTTGAAATTTAGATTTAGTGGAAATGGAGAGCAAAACACTGAAGTTCCATCTTCATCATTTCTCTTCATCCTCTCCTCTTTCTGCAGCCTACCATGGGTACTGGTGAGGCTATGGACTTTTTGTCTGAAGGCTTCATGACATCTTCATCAGCTCCTGCTGTCCAGGCTCCTGTCATCACCCCCTCAGCTCCTCCTGCACAGGTACACTGTGGATCTAGCACTGGTTACTGCAGCCCTAAATAATACAATGTGATGCACAGATACTTTTAGATAGAAGTAAAAACAATTTGAAATATAGGGTCCTGCAGGGATTTTATACACTTCATTCTGTCACTCCCTCAGCCCTCTTCAGACTTCGTTTTGAATGCCATGGCAGCAGAATTTGTTTCCTCATCTGCCGCTCCGAAAGTGAAGTCCGCCGTTTGTGCTCCAACAGAAACTGCACCAGAGGTAAATGCACCAGAACAACTGGAGCCTTTTTAGACTCTCTAAAACCCTGCAGTTACATCAGTACCTTTTTGTGTTTGTGCATTCAGCTGTCCGGTGGAGCAGGCAGTGCCCTGGACGCTCTGTCAGACACCTTGAAGGATATTGCACCCGCCCCTCAGCCCGCACCACCTCCCGCCAAAGACATTGTCAAGGTAGCCAGCGTGCATCAAGAGAATAGCCAGCACGGCAGAGAATATTTTCAATTTGTGCTCAGAAGAATAGTCTATACCAGTCACTTCAACTGTCCCGATTTGTATTGTTTTTGCAGGAGAAAAAGGTCGTGGAAGAGAGGCTGATTAAATTGGGGGAGAAAGATGACTCCCTGCCACCAGAGTATCGACTCATTGAGGAAGAGCTTAAGGTAATTAAACTCTTCTTACTCTTTCTATTACTGTTGTCAGTCCTGCTGGGGGGTTAATTGTTGGAAGTTCATACTTGAACCAATAAAAAGTCAGTCCACTTTGTTCTAGACTGAAATAGCTACACAAACAGCCTGATGGTTTGCCAAGACGTTTTGTACAAACATTCATGTTTTCCAGACGATCCTAATAAATGTTGTGCTCCCCTTACTTTTACCCTGAGTACAACCTGACAGAGCTGCTAGCCTGTCTTGTTAATCGACAATTTTAAGTTTTGGTAAGCAGCTGCTGTTAGTCGTAAGAACATATAATATAATGGTTCCATATATTTCAGTTTTAATGTTTATGCAGAACAGTTGCTGAGTAACTGTCTCTTTAATCCGGGGCAAAAGTACAGTGTGAGGGTGTTGATTTGAATGCACAGGACATGCTTGTTATTAATAGTAATTTTACTGTGCGTCTAATGTTCATCAATTTCATTTTAAAGAAAATGGCAGACGCAAAGGCAAGAGCAGCTGCACCAGCACCCAAGGAGGTAAAAATGCACTCGCACCACCAGAATATGACAGGAGGCAGTCAAGCACTGTTAAATGATATACAGTACACTGTCCATATACAACATGCTGATCGTTTGATTTGCTGTCCTTCCGTAGAAGACTATGGATGATAAAACCGCCTTGGACCTGCTGTCCAGTGACTTCTCTGTTGCTCCCAAGCCCGCTGCACCCGCTGCATCATGTGCTGTCACGACAAAGCTGGAACCTCCTGTGCTGGACTCAGAGCCCCTGAAGGTAGCACAGAAAATATACAGCAACACATTTCAACATGTCATAGTAGAAAATCTACTGCAACACATTTCAACATGACATAGTGAGAGAAGCACGGGTGAAACTAATGTTGGTCACATTTAATTTAGGTGAGATTTTGTGCTCACTGGAATGGCTTACTGGCTCACACTTTATGAGCCACAGTTAATATTTTAGTTCCACCCGTGCTTTTCTACGGAAGCAAAAAAGAAATAGGTGGAGAAAACGAGCTTTGGCGGGATCGTTTTTCTAGTGTTTGTTGTTATAATATTAATTTCGGCCACAATGGGCTCATGTATTAAATAGGACTAAAAGCCTTCATGTTCTCTTCCAGTTGAGTTTTAAGTTACCTAACTTGCTAACAGTGTTGGGCAGTAACACATTACTCAGTAACGCATTACTGTAATATTGTTAGTGTAAGGTATTACAATTTCCAACACAGTAATTATATTACAGTTATGAATCCAAGTAATGGTACTGTGTTACCAGAATGTGATTTTATGTGTGGCAGGTAAGCTTATGTTATGATGACGTGAGCGTGTGGCAGGTCAGTATGCATCTTTGCATCGCATCGAATGTGTGACCGTGACCTGGGGGGGGAATAAGAAACGGGCCTCCTACCCCCTGACCTTGTGTTTAGAGTGCATGGTGAACTTTAAACTCACCTGAAAAAAAACATGAATGCTTTTAATTCTATCTATAAGATTTGTTTAATTGTTATTTTTACACACTATCAATTGAAAGTGCATACTGGACATTTATTTATGCTGAATTGTTTCAGATTCTTACTTTAACTATTGTATTAGTTCAGTACATGAATGTATTACGAGTTGAACATGTTTGATACGTTTGTTCATCATTTATGTATTTATTATTGTTTCCTAGCCAATGGCCGGTCCTGTTCTGCTCCCAGACACCCCAGAGTTCAAATCTAAGACGGACAAACCAAAGGTAAATAGAAGATCTGTGTGAGATCAAGACGTAAGATTACGCCATCAGATGACAATACCTACACAGTAAAAGTTAAAGAGTGATAGAAGGGGCGATCGCTAGCTCATCCGGTAAATTGGGGAAAACCCCAAGTAGATTGAAACGAGAGTCCTTGGCAGCAGCCTGAGTTTGATTCCTTTGCTGCACGTCATCCCACCTCTCCTGTCATTCTTCAGCTGCTCTAACAACGTCATTGAAAATAATCTTTCAAAAAACAGAAGAACCAAATGTAAATGTAGCGCTTGAAATCTTATGGGAAGTACTGATGTTACATACTGATGTTACACACTTTTAGTTTGTATTGTCAATGGCGCCCTCTACAGGTTGTTTACTAGCACTAACTGCATCAGTGGTCACCTCATGAGGAGCGATGAGGAGTTGTTGAGCCTAACCAAAGTGTTGATTTTGTTACAGAGCAAGAGCAAGTCAAAGTCAAAGTCTAAAGTAAGCAAATTGCCGGCTGCATGAAGACAAGAATTCAATTGCATGCACGACAATGGACAAAAATCATCTGTGCGCTTATAATCAAATCAAAGTGAAAACAAATATCTCTATCGGTGGAGCCTGCAAAAAGCTGCATGTTGTGCATTCTCTGCTTTGAATTATGCTAATTCCCTGAAATATTTACATTTAAATCTGTAGTATTGCTCCACGCAAAAGGCGCTGCTTCTTCTTTTCCTTTCTATATTTTTATATTTGAATCATGTATTTCAGAAACACCAGGCAGAGGAGCCGTCTGCCACTGAGCAGCTACCAGCTCAGCAAAGCTCAGACGTTGTGCCAAAATCTGCAAAGAAGGGAGGCAGGAGCTAGACCCTCTGGTAAGGTTTGCTCTCATGTTTTGCTCAATTTGACCTGATTTTAAAAAGATGCTCAACATGATGAACGCCTTTCTGACTGCTGAATGTGTCGCGTGTTGCAGGTTGTCAGCGCAGTTTGTCCTCCCGGCCACAGGGACTCAGCAGTGAGGGAGCTGCTTTCTGGATAATGATTCTATTTTTTCTAAATCGTCAAGAATGTATAGTTGATAAAAGACAAACCTAGATATACACTTGCTCAACACACACACAAACCTCTGCATGCGGTGCCTTTTTTTGCTCGGTTTCACATGTATTTAAGGATGAAAAGGTTTGGGTTTGGGTCTTTGGAGAAAGTAAAAATTAAAAACAAGGTGGAGAATGAGTGAAAGGGGTGGAGACTGTAAAGAAAGAGAGTAGTTTAACTCAAGTGAAAACCGTTGTTTGTTAGCTGGTGTGTTGAGGGTACCGAGCGAAAGGGAGGTGCTGCTCTTCAGAGTCCTGCATGTACAGCTCAGATGACAGTTTTTCCAATATCACGACATACTGCTTATCTAAGCCTGGTGGTGTTGTGACGTTGGTTGGAGCAGTGGTAACCGTCAGCTTTCATGTGAGCAGTGCGAAAGTGGGTGTATAGTATCGGGATGTTTGTGCAATCTTGATGTACACAGAAAAACCAAGTTTTCTATCACGATGTGGTCCGATGCCATTGAGACACTAGTGTACAGCTTAGTTTGCTTATATTTTGGACAAAATATAGTTTACATAATTAAATATGTGGAGGATTTCCAGGAGGTGTTCTGCTTAATTCTGTGTCTGAGAGCTTTTGACAAATGCCTTTTTCTTACAGTAGAGAATATCTGTTAAAAGAAGGGTCTAAAAAAACAAGCTTTGTTGACTGCCCTTGTTCGTATACTGTACAGAAAAGAAAAGATTTTTGCTCTCTATAAGACAACACTGTATAATTTACAAAGGGCTTTCAACTGTAAAGTAAAAGAAATCAATATACTGTCCCCAGGTTTTTTTTTTTTTTTATGTCAAAGGTTTTGTGTGGTTGTGATTCAAAAGATCTGAGCAGTATATTAGATGTGGGAATACTAATTAAATAAAAAAGATTTAAAATGTTAATGGTGTAGTTGCTATATGTAGTCTGGTTTGTACCATTTGTGCCTAAAATGATAAACAAAAGCTTACACGAACTGCCTTAATTTGTGGAAGAAAGCGTGATCAATACAGCAGGAAATTAATAAACACTGTTTTTCGAAAGGTGCAAGGGAAGTGTGTGAATGTATTAAATTGAACAGAATCTCCTTTGAACGTATCTTTCGCTACTTCTGACTTCGTGGTTTTTCACTCTGCATACACTTGTAGCAGCCCACTTCCCTTTGAATCGGGCTGAAGTTTTACATGAAATATAAACTCCATTTAAAACTTTGTATTTCTGTGCCAAGACCCTGACGACAGAGGGGGATGCAAATGAGTGGGTTTGATGTGCAGAAACAAATCCTTAAAATAAATAAACACGCATACAATTTGTTGTACATTGAATTTTTCTTTTTTCTTTTTTTTTTTTTATAATCTTTTAAGTTCTAAAACCCATTTTAAAATACGGTACATCCTATTCTAATGAAGAAAACCATGTTTCATATTTGTTCCTCGATACTTGGAAACCATAGAAAAATTAACTTTGGAGTAATTAAATAAAACTAACCGAAGGCTTAACTCAATAGAAATTTAAAAAAATAAACATTCCAAGTTATTCTAAATCATCATTTTATTTTTTTTTACAAGCAAAAGGAAAGTGAAGTTCTTCTTGAAAATCTTGAAATAGCAGAACTAACAGACAGTACAATAACATTTAAGAAATATATTTGGCTCAGTACAAAAGCAAAATGAACTATACACAATTTTAACATAATTATTTCAAAATCAATGTTAATCAGAGTGCTCACTTCTAATATTCTCAGGACTTCAGTGGTTTCTATTACAATCAACATTTATTAGGATTGGATAAATTGACATTTCATGTTATTTCATTAAAAGAGTTGAGTCTAAATGTGATGGCGCAGCGTAACCGTTCGTCAACCGCAATGCAGTTAAAACTGGATGTTGATCTTTGAAAGTATTTGATACATTGAATCCTTGAAGCACTTTAAAAAGTTTTTATAGCTTCTGTTACAATCAAAACTTTTTAAGTTGGCAGCAAAATATTCACCATGAATGTCATTAAACTGTAAATGGGATTAAAATCATCTGCAACAGCAACACAACACTGTACAATAGTTGCTGTTTGGAGAAATGACCTGAAATGACACCATTTAAGTTAAACGTGTCTGTTGGTCATCATTTGTTTTCCAGGAGCCATCTGCGGTCTACAAGAGATAAGCAGGGTATTTAAAATAAACAATAATATGAATTATTAGCTTATTTCAGTGACTCAGTTATGTAGTCACAATGGCATTACAAAGGGAACGCAGGGCCGTAGCTACAATTGAAGGCGCTGAGGTTCTGTCTTCCGTAATATTTTTAAATTGTACATCTGTTATGACACGTGAGACATTGGGTTTGATAAGTTAAGAAATCAATATTTCCCCACCAATATTCCTGTTGGTGTGGAAAAGGCTTTGAAACAGCATTTAGAATTAAAACACTATTCTACCAACATCAAAAATTTTAGATTTTCAGAGTAATTTCCTTTAAATAACTTTTTATTTATTTTTCAAAAACTTGCAGCAATATTACTAAACAGCTCACTCCAAAAATAAATATGGGAAAAAACTGAATAATTAATTACTATTTTTTCACACTTTCATTTTGGCTGGGAAGACTTTGACTATTACCTCAGTTCTCCTAAAATCTTGCCGATGGCCCTAATGGTTACAATATTAGATTAAAATAAATAACTTACTTTCGTTTGTAATGGTGTGGGCATCTCCGTGTTCTTATTCCTACAAATCCAAAGTGTTATTAGAAACATTGCAAATCATTACACATTACAGCAAAATCATTCAGGTTTTAAATGAAGAAAAGCAGAAAAAACAGAAAAAAATTTAAACAATTTTCAGCTTTCCGAAGACGTATATTGACTCCGTATTAAACGTCATGTAAGAACATTTTAGATATCAAATGAACTTACGGTTGCAGTACAGGATGGCGATGATTAGGAGCAGAAGAAGAAGGCCACAGCTGGCGGCCATTGAGCCCAGTATGATTGGAGAACAGAACATTTGAGGACTGGTTTCCCCTGCAGAGTATGTGCTCATTTACCAACTGTTCTTCCTCACAGCATCATACATATGAAGATAATAAGGCCCTAATTGTGATCGTGAGTATTTACCTTGCTTGTTATCCTCAATCTTGTTACAAACGCATGGTGTGGCAGTTGTGCTTTGAGTTGGCGCAGTGATGGTGGTCTGTGGTGCTTTTAAAGCGACTTCAACTTTTTCTGATGAAAGTGAAAAGACGTGATGGTAAGTGATACTAAAAAGCATCCATCAAATCATTTGACTAAATATATGAAACAGAACTCACCTCCAACCAGTCGGATTACTTTGCCAAATTGCATTTCATTCCCTTTAACGAGAGACCCACAGCTGTAAATACCGCTGTCACGAGCTTTGTTGAACGACTTCAGCTTTAAGATATCATTACGAATACTTGAGTGACTGAAAGTGGAGGGGAAGGAGGCCACGGGTGACTTTGGGAATCCCTCTCTGCTGAAAGATGCAATGAATTCTATGCCATTGTCAAGAACTCGAAACCAGACGATCATGCTGGCCTCTACACTAGGCCTACACTTGAGTTCAACCGGCTGCCCTTCCTTCACCGTCATTTCTTCACCAGCTCCTGAAGTCATTTCTAAAAGATGTGATGAAATGGCAGCAGTTATATCAGTTATTTCTCTGTTTCAGGTACCCACAAGAGGAAGACCAAGAAACAGACCAGTGGACACTTTAAAGCTGCTACACGGTAGTGACAAGATTTCAAAATTCAAGTTAAACTTACTTTGACAAAACACCAGAATCACCAGAATCCACGTTTGGTTCATTTTATAGTTGCAGACATCAACAGCTGCTAAACAAGTCTTTGTGGTGTTTGTTGGAGCCTGCTAGAAGATAATTCAGTGAGATACCAAACCACGCCCCAGCTGTTACCTTCTTCTCTGCTGTGTCAAATGGGATCATTGCAGCGGAGCTTTGCAGAGACCTCCTGCAAGCACGATAGTGGTCTGCAAGATGTTTGAAGTTGAGCCCACCGATCTGCACTCCTCGCCTCTCCCTTTGGTTTGAAGCATTGAGCGGCACAACTTGATCCACGAACTACAAACACAAACGCAGCAGTGTGTAGGTTGTAGGCTGAGACGGATGGGATTGGAACTGAAAGCAGTCTGTGTTGCAGCCCACTTTAAACAAACACGACTCCACACTGTTTCTGCACAAATCAAATAGTGAATTTCAAGAGACCTGACTTTATACCCAATGTAGGCAAACATCTGCCGCTGTTAAAGTGGCCTTTAACAGCTGCAGGGTCACTGCTCTGTAGCTGTATTTTGACCTTTTGGAAATTCTGAAAATAAAAGATTCATTTTAGAAGGAACATGCCGTTTTATATCACTTTTTTAATACTTTTCCTACTGTTATTGTCAGAGGAAATCCAAGCCATCTCTGGATGAACATTTAAGTTAACGATAGGATCAAGCTCACGAACAACATCAGGAGGAAAGAAATGAATAGTGGCGGATGGGCATGAGTGCAACAGCTAATAATAAACACAATACTCACAATTAGTGTAAGATTGTAGAGTTTAAGAAACTCATTTAAAGACAAATCTGCTTGCAGTTAAATGGCTAATATGTTTCACCAATGGTTGTCGCTGTTCTCCCGTGCTGTGTGGTGTAAATTACTGTACACTTCATACATGATTCTCATCAGGGATGGGAGGGTTTCTTTAAAAATGTAATCTGATACAATTACTACTTACCTGTGAGAAAATGCAATCAATGACCTCATCCAAGTATCACAATATAAAAGTAATTGCTAGTATTCTGCTACGTTTGGATTACCCTCCATACCAAAGATGCAAATAAAGACAAGAGAAAAGAAAATGTGTGAAAACGTTGACATTATTTTGTATGTAAAGTAGAACAAGGGAACAACATCACAGTAGCAGGTGTTTTGCCTTCCAGCTGTGAAAATGCTTTTATAATCCAGGAGGATTATTTGGCATATTAGTATTTCCCAAATATTACCTTGGAGCAGCAGCAGTACCCACATAAATTAATGAAATGACCATATACATGCTAATTTCTTGAACTTTACGGAATGCCTATTTTATGTTTTTTACATTCAAAGCTCCATTTGAGGTTTTCATATGCTTCAAATGTTTGTCATCATATTTTATTATCATAACAAAATCATAATCCCACCCCCAAATTTGGTTGTATATGTAAATTGTGGTGCTGTTAGATTGCTGCTAGAAAGCAGGAAATGTAATAAAATGACATTAAAGTATGTCATAAAATGTTATAAAACAAAATGGTGTCTTAAAAAAGGCATCGTATAATATGCCATTGCATGTCAGAATTAAATTATAGTACAGTATGTAATAGAAAGTTGTACTAGTATGTCTTATAAAATGTTGAAGAAAGTTTGTATAATGGCATAAAATGTCATAAAACAGTCTTACTATAGTACATCATGGAATTTCATGAAAAAGTCAAAGTATAGTGATAAAAACATCCTAGCGTAGTGTGTCATTAAATATCATTAAACGTTTTTTGGCATACTATACTATGACTTGTTCTATGAAATGTTATGTCATTAAACAAGTTTGTCCAAAATGTCATCAAAAATTTAATATTAAAAATATCTCACAAAAAATATCATTGTACATTGTTTCATAAAAACACTGTACAATGGAATAGAATATGTCATAAAACGTCAACAAAAGGAATAATACATTTTGCCATATGATGTCATAAAAAGTCCAAACATAGTATGTCTTTCAAATGTCAAAGTTAGGTATTCCATAAAATGTAATAAAGAGACACGGCATCGTGTGTCATGAAATGTCATAAATAAGTAATAGAAAAGTCATAGAATATTATGAATAAAATATGATAAAAAGTCAAAGTATAGTATGTCATGAAATGTAATAGGAATTGTAGTATGCTATGTCATAAACAAAATTTGAGCATAATATTTCATTAAATGTATAAAAAGCCATAGTTTACTATGTCATGAAAAAGGCTTAGTAAAAAAAAAGTATAGTATGGCGTAAAATGTCAAGAAAATGTACATAATATATATATATATATATACTGTGTATATATATATATATAATTTGACTTGTTCATACTTTATTTGACATATACTACATATACTACACTGACTTTTTTCAATATGCTATACTCTACTATGACGTTTTTCTTTTCTTTGCTCTTGATGAGCCTACCTTGCAACACACATTGCAGGCAAACAATCATTCAAATATAAAATCAAATCATTTGATTGTTGCAGTTTCCAGCTGTGCACCAGTAGTGTTTTTCAGTTCCGCCTCTCCTCACCTAGATGTCCCCATCTCCATCCAGTCTGCTGTTCCTCCCCAACACACTGTGTCTTTTCTCTGAGAACCAACAAAGGAGACAAATAACCTCCTTAAATGCGCTGTAATGTCACCATCACGCATTCTGAAGTTCTGGACATCAGAGAGAGTAATATTTTCAGGAAGTGTATATTATTCTGAATGATGTCTTATGTCTTTTACACACCATATCCTATTGATTTATCAACAAGGTTCATATCAAAGCTTAAGATGCCACTGAATTGATGTTTTATGCTTTTAATATTCAGCAACGCAGCTGGTAATGTGATAAAAATACATCCTACTTTAGAGCTTCAGCACAGCCAAGATGTTCTCTCGGTTGGTCTGTATAACGTTCCTCTTTCTCCCAGATGTCAATCACTGAGGCAGCATAAAAATGAGGCAGCATAAAAAATAAAATATAACAAAATAACAAATATGCTGACAACAGTTGCACACACACACACACACACACACACACACACACACACACACACACACCTATATTCTTGCCAGATCCAGTGATGGAATGATGAATTAAATCGACCATAAATCTGTTCAGTAAGTCGGGAAAGATGTTGTCCCACCAGGGTTTTATGTGGCAGATTGGCCCTGCAAGACAATCGTTTTTGAAAATCTCTCTCTTGTAATTCTCCAAACTTTAACTTTATGGAAATGGAATACTACATTTCTGGAGTATACCTTTAAGAGTTTGGAGAGCTACTACCTGGTTCGACTTCATTTTTCAGATAACTGTACATGTTTGCTTCAGAATGTGTAAAGCTGTGTTGAACTGATAAAATCTTAGCACAACCACTAGGGATGAAAATAGGACCCAGGTTGTAAAATAGCATTTTCCATTAACAACAAAGGACATAGCTTCTACCCATAGCAACAATCAAGCACCATGCCATCTGTCACTTCATGTGAAAGCTTGTTTAACAGGGAAGTGAAACTCCCTTCAGATGAACTGAGAGCGCTACAGCGGCTATGGCGCAACCCAAGGCCCATCCTATTTCCTGTTCAGTGATGGAAAGTAAATGCACCGATTTAGTAATGGGCAACAAGTGCTGACATTTTGCTCGTTTGTGGGCCATTTATCTGTTCCACGGGTGGGCGGAGAGAGACGGAAAGAAACAAACAGAGAGAGAGAGAGAGAGAGACAGATTGTCTCATTTACATGTGCTGTAGAGCATATTCTTTACCTCATCCCAATATTTCCTCAAATTGCAGCTGCAGATTGTCAATTTAAAGTTTTTTTGTTTTGTATAAATTACTTTGACATTGCTTCAAATGAAACCATGATGGAAACCAGGTTGAGGTGTTGCATCATTTTCAGTAAGCAGGGGATTCTGTTGATGCTTTGTGTTAGAGGGAAGACCCAGTCAAAAGGCTCTCAGTTAGCCCACTTCACCTTTCCATACCTCTGTTTCGGGTTTGAGTCACTCACAAACACATCTGCATGGGCTTCCCTATCTTAGTCATACAGGGGGTCTCCAACCTGAAACTTACATCTGTGTGTGTGTATGTGGTGGGTGACCAGGGGAAGCCAGTGAGAAAGAGAGTACCTCCGACAGTACCATCGCATAGCTTGACATTCAAATGCAGTGAGAAGCGACGTCTTTACGATCTGAAAATAGCAGCATCCTTAAAACCAGTAAATCAACATCAATAAGCCTGTTTGCCAGTTCCTCATCACTGTGGCTCACCTGTCCTGGCATTAAGGGATGCAAAGTTGTGAAAAGGAAACCGAGAGCAAAGGAGGAGTAAGTAGAAATGGAGAGTTCGGAAATGGGGAAACTGAATGCCTGTAAATAGATGTTTGTTCAGAGTTTCTTCTGTTACTAAGACTTCCTGTTAGGATTGTATGGGTGGGTTTTGAAAATAATTTTTGGATTTAAATTGACCTTTTGCTAACAAAGCAGAAATTTGGTCAACAAATATTTGAAATTTTATGTTTAATGCTTTCAGAAAACAATAATTGACTGTAATGTGAATATATTGTGTATAGATGAGTCGTCCAGTGGACTCTCTCTTGTATAGTTTGTGACTTTGATTGTTACATTAGTTAATGTGTGACAATTTTACCGTTGAAATACATCACAGTTGATCGTGTAGAATATGAGCTGACATATTAAACAATATGTTGTCTGCAGGATTTCACCACAAACTACCTAGTGTCACAGTATTTGCATGATTCATTTAACGTTGAAGTTTGACATTTACATATTTGAATTCATTATTGACTTGATTTGATGATGTGTGTTCTTGTTGCACCATTTAAATGTAATGGAACTGCGTTTTTACAGAACTGATATACAGCATGGTGCATATTCATTTATTTATACATATATTATTCATAATCATGAACGTATGTAAACTATGTCTTGTAGAAAAGCGGGGGAGACATTTTTCAATGTTAAATCATGCATTTCCAATGTAACTTGTTTATTATCACGTATGAGTAAATGTGAATTTATTACGTGAAATGGTGTTTCATGTGATAAATTCACAATTGAAATATATAACAGAAAAAAATATTATAGTAAAACATCGATACATGCATTTATGCTTCAGTTTGACATCTGACACATTTTGTGCTCCCCTGACGTTTATGCTTCTTGTCCTCTGAGATGAACAGGCTGTGTTCAGTTGAAATGAAAGTTACAAGATACCTTTAGAGGAACCGTTACGCCTTCATTGCCTTTATTACTGTCGGGTGTATCTAAAATCCTTTACTAATCCCCAGATGGGAAATTCAGTTGTTCCAGTAAAACACAAGGACAGAATGAAATACTGATGAATAGAGAAAGTAAAAAGTAAAGAGCATATAAACTAAGTAAGTACAAATATATATACATGAACACTAATATACAAATGTATAAGTGTGATCTTTTAATTTGACTAAAATGATACTGAAGTAGTAGTAAAATAATTGCACATGTCGGTGTGTGGTATTTCTTTACCAGAAGAATGTGCAGGATACAAAACACACAAATGGTTCATAAAAAATATATTGTGTACATCTCTGCAGGTATTATTTTTTGTATAGTGTCTTGTGTTTTAAATATACAGCAGAAATCAATCCTCTGTGTTTGACGTCTTACAAATCTATTGCTGCCATCTGCATTCAATCATGTTTCCTGGAACAGACGAATGTGAATAAATGATTTCCTCAAGCCTTGACACAGAATGATAATAATATATGATTAGAGAGGTTGATTCCACTTTGTCTGCTTTTTTGAAGCTGTCGTTTGTGGTGCTGGTGAACTTTATTGCGTTATACTGAGACGTGTTTCAATCATTTTGTCCACCCAATGAGTGGAGCTGGCGACTGAATGTGATCTTGGTCTACTTTTCTGTGATTGTATATGTAGTTCAACATTCAGGCAGCAGATTTACATGAAACGTGTTGATGGATAATTTGTTTGATTTTGTTCTTTTAATGCATATTTTATCCATAATTAACAATCATGTATTCAATATTTCAATGCAATGGTAATATATATATATATTGTAATGATATTGTATTATATCCAATTAAACACACTGCTAAAAGAAGTGTCTTGTAGTTTTACGTTTCTTTTCTTACTGTACTCATTTCAAGACGCTGTCTCTGTGTCTCTGTCAGTGCTTGTGGTTCGGTTTGTGGTATTTTTGTGGTCTTTTTGTTTCAGAGAGTAGATGAAGAGCTCAAAGCTGAGCAAAGCGATAGCATCTCAGTGAAGACGGCTCCGTCTCTCCTCTCTCTCCAGCTCACAGGAAAAGGTCGCGCACACTCCCTGAGACCTGAGCAACCACCAACTCAGTCATTTCTTCACACCCCTCAATCGCACAGGTGTAAGTGGTGTTGCTTGTGTGCGTGTGTGTTTGTGAGAGAGAGGAATAGCAAGAGATACACACTTTGCTATAAAACAGCTTTGTAGCCCGTAATTTATTATTACACAATCAAGCTTTTTGGCACAAACTGGAGGCAGTTCAACAGAAACTGAATGTGATGCACGTTTACACATCAAAGGTGAAGGAAGAAACCAAAACCTTGTCACTCACCTACTCAACTTCCGTCAAACAGAATATTGACGATGGATGTACAACACCCACTTCCAAACCTCTTTCTCTTCTTTTCCATAAACGTGCACAGAAATCGTGTAAACGAATGATACACCACTGCAAACATTTTGAAACATAGGGTTTCTTATTTATCTGTGCACGAGTCGTAACTGTCGTTGGAGACACGCAGCATTTGGCCTCGAGGTTATATCTGTGTGCCCTTGAGCAAGGTGTCAAAGCTTCATTAATCTGTTGGTAACTCTGCCTTTTGGCATCCGAATGTACATGCCTACATGCCAATTGCATTTATAAAATGTCTATATAGATGTGTTTAATAACAGATAATACATAAACTTTTATGACCGATAAAAAGAAGAGCGTCACCAATGAATGATTCAACATATACAATTTTATTGATTTAACAGAATTATCCTTCCTGAAACCTGACAGTGCTATTTTGAAACAAAAACACAAATAGATAACGAAGAGAGTCAAAAGCAAATGAGCAAATACACTGTATTTGATTTCAGCTGTGTTTTTTTGTATGTAAATAAACAGATTAGCTTTGGGATTTGGAAAACTGCAATTTTTTGTTCTGAAATAATAATCATTTTAAAACCAATGCTACAGATCACAAGACCGGCTTAATTGAAAAAGCACCTGGATAAATGATGATGTCATCTGCATATTGACAAAAAAAAAACAACAACATGTAATCGACTTAAAGTTATAGCACAGAGTTTAGAATTGAACATGGCGAAGCTCTGGAGCTGTCTTGTAAGTTATTTAACAAAAAACAGCCAATATATTATAATATGCTACACATGGTTGCTGCTCTTGAAAGCATGAAAGTCTTCTCCGACTGGCAAACATTTAGCTGTTAATGAACAGGACATGTCGTTAGCAGAGGTGTTCTTCAGGGATCTTCATCTTCTTCATGCTCCACTGGATGTTACTTAAACCTGAAAACATTTTGTAAGGTGATAAATATCACACATACAGTAAATATTATATCTATATAGATAAATAAAGTTACAGACATAAGGTACATACCTTCAGTCAGATACAAGCTGTAGATGCAGAACTGTCGGCTCAACTACCTCCTCCTTAATGGGGAAAAACAAAAGAAAGAGATTAAACTACGGCGGAATGTAAAGAATCTAGAAAATTTATATTTTTTTGATATTGCAGGAAAAAACTGATATTTTTACTATTTGTGGAAATCTACTTACTTCACCAAGTGGTGCCGACATTTTTTGGGTAGCCCTAAAAGCAAGAAAGTGTACAAACAACAGAAATCACTTCAGAGTTGCAACAAAATACTTTTCAAACTTATATTTCAACGCTGTTCGACTAGTTTGACATTCGTGAGCATAACATGCTGGAGGACTACTCACGGCTAAAGTAGTACAGTGTGCAGATGAGCGCTAGAGCCAGGGCCGCAACAAGTCCAACCGATGGCCACAGAACCAAGGAGCCGCAGCCATCTGCAGCAACTATGGTACATGGTTTAATAAAGCTTGTTGCATTGCCAGGTGATACAATCAATCATCAGATGGTTATCACTTCTTTCAGTACAACCTGTCATTACATTGTCTGTATAAAAACTACCTCCTCTATTGTATTTACAGCATCACAATCTGGTACAGTGCACAAGATTTATACCGTTACAATATATTCACAGATGAATGTGCTTATACATCACAAGACACATGTAAAGTCTAAATTTGTAAGCAGCAGAGCGTCATACAATTTACACAAACATTTGCATACAAGCACTTTGTGTCCTCTAATCAAAAACCTTACCCTGTGAAGGACTCTCCGTAGGGCAGCGGCACACTGACTTGACTGGTGGTTTGGGTTTTGTCTTAGGAGCTAATGTTGGATGGACCACTGTAAGGTAAAGATCAAATAACCGTAAAGACAAGTAATAACTAAACGCCAGTGAAACAAAAATGTAAAGAATCTGTTAGAGAGATATTAAAGGAGAACCCAGTCATTTTGACCTGTCCCTATTTTCCCATCTTTGTTTATCATAAGAATTATCCTGACAAGGATCTCATCAACAAATTTTCTCTTCAAATACATCATGTATGTTGTTTGTCTGCGCAACCACAATCCAAAGTAACATTGAAATTACTAAGATTTCTCCCTGAACAAAAGCAATAACAGCAGTCACTCTGTTGAGAGCTAAAGAGGTTGTTTGGAGCATCCATTGAGTCTTTGTGGTTGTATAAAACTGCTGCACCCAGGTAAGCAAGACAAACTATATAAAGATCCAAGATTTTGGTCAGAACTAATAAGAAAAAGCATAAACATCACTTATTTCTAAGGATAGTAGACATTTAGCCCCTTAAATCATTTACTCCTCCATCTGCCACCTGAATTCAGACAGATGTACTCAAACTCTCACGGCCGCTCGATACTTTACTCGAGATTTAACTTTCAGCACACAAACCTCCTGGCCGAAGAAGAATCCCGGGCTTCCACATTTCTGTGTTTTGCCTGTCCTTGAGAACGCAAGAATAAATCCCTGTGTCCTTCTCTGTCACGTTGATGATGCGTAGCGTAAAGGACATGCTCTGCCTGCTTAATTTGAAGCGTGTTGTGTCCACATTAGCCCCGTGGCTAGTACGGTCAGCGTTGTTGCATTTGCCGAGGAACTCTACTTTGCGGTGGTCGTGAATACTGCGGAACCAGTAGACAGAGTCACATGAGATGTTAACGCAGTCACACTCAATAGCCTCTGTGCTGAGGATCTCGGGATAACGAATCTTGACGGGTTCTCGCTGCAGGATCTGGCTCGAACCTAGGAGATGAAATGAAGAGATGTTTGAGACGCATGGTTGTGGTACGATAAACATTCTCTACAGGGTCACATATCGTTAACAGTCGGGGCTCTAACACACGACAACAACGTCAAGGCCAAACACACAAACTCCCAAGAATTGTGTATCATCCCAAAAAGGGTTACTTTTCTTTATGTCTCAAGCTGACTTGTCCATCACTTGGTGTTTAGAAATGTTTGCGGAAAGGCCTTGAGTAACAGTGCATGTGCAGTCTTTCTAATTCAATAAAATAAATACCAATTGTAAAAGTAAAAGCACGTACAATTACAAACACATTTGTCAATATGGTATAGAAACACTACAACCAAAGGTGTTGCAAGAATGGAAAGTAACCCCAACTATGAAGAAACCTGTTGAACATCTTTCAAATGCCAGCAATTTGGCATTTATGCAATGTTTAAGGGATGCCTTCATTGGAAGAGTAAGGTGTGTAGGCATATACCTGTTGCAATCGCTAGTCTTGTGAAATATCTAAAGATAAGTAGAAATTCAAAGGCTTCCAGAGTGAGAAAGGTTAAGGCTCACTGGAACTAAAGTCATTTGGATGATAGTTTTACCCAAACGTACGAACTGCAGAAATTGCGTAACATTTAAGATTGCACAGAATTGATTTAATCTTTATCCAATGGGTTGGGCTATACAGTACAAATACAATTAATTGCAATGCCTTGATAGAGCTATAATATATAAATAAATGTAAATATTAAATTGCCATCTACCGCAGAGCACGAACAGGTAGTGTATAGTTACCCTCGTAATTGAACCTTTAATCCAGGTTGTACACATTACATTAATGTAAATAAAAAAAATAACAGTATCAATGAGTTATACCAGTACAGTTGTACAATTCTGAGATATAAAATTAACTCCCGTGGTAGTTTGACCATTAGTTTTAGCAAATGAACCAAAGGCTACGGCGTCATACTTTGTCTACGTTAACCTTCAGAGTCATCTGTTGGACTTTTAAAAACAAATTTCACATCTTAGCACATACGATGGTTATGAATTCAAACATTATTCAAGTTAAACTTCAGAAAAGCTTCAGGTTGAGTAGACAACAACACATCCCTACTGCTACTACCGCTACTGGCACCCTGACAGAGCCATGAAGCCGAGCACGCCTGTGGCAGAGAAGCGTCGTGTTCTTACCTAATGTCCACAGCGATGCCGTCAGCAGTGTCCATGCCAGTGGCAGCACGATCATTTTGTCCGGTCACCACTGTCTCTGTACGCGTCTGTGTTTCTTGAAAGGTATAGCTGAGGGACGGTGCTGATACTTTCTTTTCCTGATATCTATCTGTCAGAGATGATAGGAGGAACTGAGCTGACATGGCCTTGAGTCGTCAAGGTAACACCCCAGTGTGACACACACACACAGGGCCTATCAGAGTGGGCCATACACACACACACACACACACCTGGAAAAAAATAACTTAATTTGAAATGTGCAAACTGTGGCAAAAAAGTACCGTAAAGAATACTTGACTCTGTTCACTTAAAAAGTTCATACCCAACAAATAATAATTTAGTTTTCATCACATGGTGTTAAAACGGTGCTGTTTGAATACATGACATACATACAGTGATCATGACAAACAGCTGAGTGGTTCATGATACCACATATCAAGCAATATAAAAGTTGTATGTTCACAGAGCAGCAGTTTGCAGAGCTGTGGTCTCTGCCCAGGTGCATGACCTAGAGCACAGCAGAGTCCCGCATATATGCAGCTTCATGCCTCACTGCAGAGCACGGCGAGGGAATATCAATGTAGAGCATAAACTACTGGAAACAAAGGATCAGGGATACAAATCCTGAACCACAATTCTGTCGATTATTGTTCGATATTCGCTGGGGTGTGTACGCAGCTTCTTCTGTTCTTTCTAATAACTCACTTCTTTAACTTTGTAGAAAGTGCGGGGAACAAAGGGCATCAAGACACACATTGAGAACGCACTACAACAAAACCCAGTGAGATTTGTGCATGACAAACTGATATTGTAATATTTCACATGTCTTGTGTGAATAGGTACATTTGTTTCGATTTAACCAGGAAACATAAAACGTAAACTAGTTTGATAGTGAAATCATTTATTCTCATTAGTTAACTCATTAGTCAATTAGTTAAACAAAGTGAATATGTTTTTCAGTTCAACTTGTATTTTAAAGAAGCTGCCCTCTGAATTTCTCCAGTTGCCAATGAATTATGCCCAACTAATTTATTTCATGTGATATCAATACTCAAACATTTCAAATGGAGACAGTTACTTATTTCCAGATGACATAGAAGATCCTTTTCTGCACAAATTAAATGAAGACTCCGGTTGTAAAAAGTGGAAAGCTGTCTTCATTCTGTCCTTAGTGAAAAATGCAGCAGCAACGGAAAACAAAGTTAAATCTCATCCGGCAGTTACAGACATATGAAAAGAAGACAACGAAGGTTCCCTTTCAACAACACCTGCCTTTGGAAAAAGTCAATAAGCCATCAATTACATCACGGAATAATTTGTCTAGTAATCGATTAATCCTTTAGTCTATAAAATAGTGAAAAAGTGGTCATTGCAATTTCCAAGACCTTTAAGTGTCGTCTTCAAATGGTTGCAAAATACCAATCTAACACCCAAACACTCTTCGTTAATAAAGATATAAAACAGAGAAAAACAGCAAATATTTACATTTCCAAAGCTGTGACAAATTAATGTTTGGCACCAACAAAAAATTATCAAAAGTGTTGTCAATAAAATCAATCGACTAGTCATTATAGTGCTACATTTTTACAATGAATAGTTTTGTGTGGATATTCCAAACACTGAGGTAGACACACTGAAGTCTTATCAACCCTGATTCACACCTTCACTCACAAGTGAAATGGCTTTTTAACAATGACGTACGGAGGTACACTGCATTAGAAAGTGTTGAAGAGGGACTGAAGATAAAACCTCATTTTAAGTTCTTTACCCCACACTAAAAGAAATATGTCCCATTGGTTTGGCATTTCTATATTATTTTGGGGTCAGCCATTCCAACATAAGGAATGAGAAATGTCTGATTATCCCTTAAAACTCAGAATGTCCTTGATAAAGCTGGTGAGCGCTGAAGTGTTGTCTGTGGATTGTTGTGTGTGTGAGTGAGAGGTGAGGGTGTAGAACGGTCTGGTGGGGGTCTTAAAGAGAGAGGATGTGGGCACCCTGTAGCTCTACGGGGGTCGAAGACGAGAGCGAGACAGGGAATGAGACCACAGGATTCTTTGAAAACAGGAGGTCTCGGGGGGCTTCAGAGCGGCTCTGAACACATCGCTGAGCTAGAAAGCCTTTGTTGGTCTATCTGCTCCGACGCTTCAAGTCAAAAGCAGCCTTCTTTTCATTTCTCTACTACTCTCGTCAGACACATTTAGTTAAAAAGTTAAATATTTTCACATCCATTTTATTGTATTTGACCTCACTCCAGAAGCTCTTCATCTTACAGCCTCTACAGGACTTCTGTATCAACTCTTCTGTCACTTCTCACACTCACATTTTTCCTTTTGCTAACTCATTTCAACAATTATTGAACTTTAAAACACATTAGCAAGTTGTTTCGTGCATGATTTTGATCTACTTTGGCTTGAATCCTGTGATCTCCCAACAATCTGTCCCAACAAGCCACGCAATGGGCCGCATTCTGCTCTCAGCATCCAAATACAATGTAGAGCAGGGAACCACGCTAATGCCAAACTTACAAAATAGTCCAGATATCGTACCTTCAAAACTTGTAGAAAAAGTATGTTGTTGTTTTATCTGCGGGCCTGTTTGAGCGTGTTGTGGCAGGTTGTTGTGGCATTAGTTTGTAACCACCAGGCCACCATTTCAGTCTGTTGCCAACCTAATACCTTCTTCTAGAAATCTAGTTTTTAACAAAGCCAAACTAGCCCACCGTCATAATTCATAAAGAAGCCTAAGATAGACAAATGCATAGCACGCACCGATGCTTATGTGGGCCACAAACCGCCCAGTTGATAGTCACAGAAAATAAACAAACAAATAACTTGCCAAAAAGGTCAAACATAGTTTTGTCCAGCTGAGGACTCTTTGTGACCTATTTAGAACAGCCATGTTGTTTAAGTGCATCCTTATCAGACAAAGGATGGTTGGAACTTTACTTTGCCTCTTTTCAGTCATCTTTATGTGCCATAAACTGCCTTTGTTCAGCTCATCACAGACTGCATCTGAACATTCATTTCTAAGTTTGTAAAGAGATGTCCTCATTTGAACTCTTGCACCTGTCTGACCCCAAACACTTTACGAGCTGTTTGGATGTGCAAGTACATCCACAACACATGCACTCTAGACTAGGGCAATGTCTCAGCACTCTCCTGTTTTCTCAAAATAGTTTTGATGTGCGACAGAGAAAGATCTTTCAATAACCGTATAATTCCATTTCTATCAGAAATGCGCTGAACCTGTCTCGGCTGTCAGAGATGTGCTCTGATCGCCTTCTTTTAAAAGCCTGTGTGTATCTGAAAGCACACAGAGTTTCAAAGGAAATGAAATGACTAAGCCTCAAACGTCGGTGGGCTTTTATTTGCTGTACTGGTGCTCTGAATGAAGCTCAACAGTGCCCACCACAGGCTGCTAAAAACCCCCACAAGATACAGAAACATATCGGTGCATTAATAAGTCAAGTGTCTTATTGATCATTTCAAATGATAGGCAAAACCAAAAAAAATATCCTAAGTATTACAGCAAACAATAACGAAAGATGTGCAAGTTAATTAAATGAAATATATTAAGTGTCTTAGTGAAAAATAAAGTCAGCTGTGGATATGTGTGAGAAACAATTCTTAACAAAAATAAATTGACTTAGCACGGCTCGCCAGTTAGCACACCTATGAACAACACTTCTGGGCTGTCAGAGCAGATAGTTAAAACTGCTTTGTTATCTGCTATAAAGAATACTCTAAAATGGACAGTTTGTGTATATTTTAAATGTCTTGCTCACAATGACAATAGTCTGGGGCTTTTGAGTTTAACAGCCCAGAATGGAGTCATCCCACAGCTTCTCCTCCTCTGTCCTAGTGTCTACTTTCTCTTTTGTCTTCTTCTTCTCTTTCCTGTATTTTGGTTTGGCTGGCTCGTCCTGTCCACCTTCCCCCTGTTCAACACTCATTTCAGCCTGAATATGCACTTCAGTCTCTTTTCTATTGTCCATCATGTCCTCTGGCATTAAATTGTCCGTCACCCTTTCCACTCCTTCCACCTCTAAGTCTTCCTCCGGGGATTTATTTTCTCGTCTTCTCTGCTTGCCGTGTCTTTTGGGCTTTTTTCTCCTGCTCTCTTTCTCGGACTCTCCAGATTCCTCTCTTCTCCTCTCCTCAGAGTCATTATTTCTTTCCCTCCTCCGTGGCTTCCTCCTCTTCTCCTTCTTGTCTGAGTCCTCATCCCTTGCCTTCCTGTCTCCCTCCCTCCTGGATCTTCTAATCCTCCTCTTTTCTCTGCGCCTGTACTCACTGTCATCGCTATCACTTGTGCTACTGCTATAGGAGGAGGAGTAAGACGATGAAGTCGTACACGAGGAGGAGCTCAACTTCTTTCTGCGCCTCTTTCTATTTGTGGGTGGATTAGTTAACAGTGGAAAGCCTTCGCCTGGGGGGACCGGAGGAGGGCAGCTGTAATCCCAGTGATGGGAAGGCCAGGGTGGGCCCTGAAGTGGAGGACGCCACCCTACAACTGGGTTGTAGCAGCCAGGGCGGGAATGATGCGGAGGGTTAGAGGTGGGAGGGAGGTTGGGCATGCGTTTGTTGAGTTCAATGACATCCCCCCATGCTTCCTCTTCTTTTTCCTCTTCCTCACCTTCTTTTTGTGCGTCACCCAGAGGGAGGAGTTGACCGGCACTGGGGGTGATTCCACGAGCCTTCTGGACCTGAATGTAATCTGCCAGTTCATCTGCATATGTGTTGTAGTCTTTTTGTTGAGATTTGCACAGGTCGACGACCTTTTTCTCCCTGGTCAACAACATGGAAACAGGAATTTAGTTGCTATTCAACTGGGTAATAAATGATGATGCTACACTAAAGCCACATTAAGTCTTTTTTTACCACTAGAAAGCAGAGAAAAATTTTGTAATATCATCAGCTTATCAAGTGCCTACAGTTAACCATTCTCTACTTGCACACCAAGCAGACACAGAGCAATATGACTATCTAATGGGGGTTTACGTATGATAACAGCAGAGGTACTTTGCATACTGAATACAGCAAAAAGGTAAAAGTTCATTGTCACATGAAGCTTGCAATATTCAGTGAGTGGACTAACTCTCATTTTCTTTCTGAGGCTTCTTTTGTCCTGCACCTAACTGGGGAAGGTTATGCGCACTACCCCCCCACCTCCTTTGAGTTTATAAGACAGCCACGGGACTCAACTACACAACCAATATGTGGACTGAAAACCAAAACATGAGCTAAAAGCTACAAAAAGCTACAGAGGTTGGGTGATAATATTAATCTGAAGTATTAAAAAGCTTTAATGTTGCCACGGTTTTAGAAATGCAAATTATGACACGACAGTGGACATAAAGCGTTCAACAGAAAATGATTAATTTTACCTAATCTGGTGTTTGTTTCCTTGCATATGAGCCTGGTACATCTCCACAGAGTTAAATTGCACGCTACACATCTGGCACATCAGGGAGTTGGCTGTAGACAACAGAGAGTGGGAAAGACGGCATAAATGATACAAAATAATAGCTTATAAGCACACAGCTTCCTTTGCTTTCTTCTTTATCTAGTTAGTTTCTAACTCGCACCACAATAACAAAGTGGTGTGAAGTATCTGTTATACAGCCTAGAACTAAAGACACATTTGCTTGAAGAAATATTTTTCTTCACATCAATACTGCCTCTTAAAATACACTCAATAGCGTAGTGGGGTCTGATGCACTATGCACTATTATCGCTTTGCTGAGAGGCAGGATCTATGCGTTACCTTGTTGGACATGGTCTCCGAGCTCTTTGAGCAGGTCCCGTCTGGCCTGATTCCTCTGGTGTTTGCGTCCATTGTAGTGCTGCAAAGCCATTTGGGGATTGTTGAAGGAAGCAGCACACAGCGCACAGTACTTGTTAGGGTCCTTCAGGTCAACCTCTGTGCTGGGGGTCGCTGCGGTGGCTGTTGGGTCCAGAAGATGCTCCACATCACCCTGTGGGGCTGATCTCTGGTCAGCATCATCAGGATCCCGAACCAGACTTGGTAAAGTATGCACCTCTGTGTACGAGTCTGGAACTGCAACGAGAAATCATCAATTTAAGACATTTGAATCATACGGTCAACAAAATTCATAATACTTTTCCATCACACAACACACACTTGCCTGGGGGCTGAAGACCTTGTTTACGAAGATGTTTTGCATGGGTTTTGCCTTCATAGTGCGATTTTGCCACCACGTGAGAACTAAACACCATGTTACACAGCTCACAGAAATGGTCCTTATCAGAAGTCATGGTCCGCTGCAATAAACAGGCACAAGAGACAGATGTATGCAAACTGAAAACAATGAAAAAAGAAAACTAGATGATCCCTTACACCTTCTCTGTGCTCCTCTCCCTTATGTAATCATATTCTATTGAAGAGTGCACTGAAGCTAGACTGCTGCCTGTTAAATGCAGCATTGTGGTTTATGTTCCGCCTTCTGTTACACTCATCGTTCAATGCTACAGATTAAGATTGCACCTAAATGTGTCAGAGTCAAATCAGTAAATGGGTGCAAACCTGGAGTCTTGTGTACTCTTTGTCCATCTTCTCAGCTCTCTTGGCCTGCATGTACACCTTGAGTTTCTGAGCATGTTTCTTTCCCTGCAGTCGGGGGGGGACACGGGAGACATTTTTCATTAAGGCTCTGATCTTGCGAGGTCAATAAAACTGTAACACAATTCCACGACTAGAGCCTAGAAAGCAGCACACACCTCATAGTGCGACAGCCGCTGAGACTCAAAGAGCAGCACGGCCTCACACACACGGCAGTAGTCGTCAGTGAGGAGACCCTCGAGTAGCTCCGCTTCACTCTTGTCTCCTGTGTGGCAGAATAAACTGTCACTGTTACAGTTGAGCGGAAGATTATTGAAGTATAATGAACAAACAGGATATTAAATCCTCATATTACATTAATTTATTCATCGTTCATCGTTCATCTTACACTGTTCTATTGAATGTAAACTTGTATTAGATAATATATAGTTGAAATACTTCAGACTGGTGCTCTCGTGTCTTCTCATGGGCTGATTTTGATAAATATGGAGACAAATTGGCTTTTGAATGATTAGAAGCTGCAGAATGAAATGGTAATTGGCACAATATTCACTGTCTGAACATGTGAGGAAGGTCTCATCCAACATTCAAAATCATTTTTGTCTTCGTTGGCCACAGGTGTTCTGCACAGAACAAGACAACAGCAAGCAAAGCAGCTTTTCCTGCAATACACACTGCAACGGCAACTTACTGTAAAATGGAAAAATGCACAAGAGGGAAATTATAGATTCAACTGAATTCCACTTATTCGAGACCGACTCTCTTAGACCAATTTAAAGCAAGATGTTATCTATTGCCCACTATTATTTATTTATTTATTTATTTATTTATTTATTTATTTATATATATATATATATATATATATATATATATATATAT